GGCTGTAAAACGCTTCAGAGGAGCATTCTCAACCAAATTTGACTCCGAGCCAAATAAGGAAATATAGGCCAGGTGACCGAAACTTAGTGAAGTCTGTAAGTTCTTCAGGACCAAAAGAAAGAGATGGCAGCAGAGATATTTCAGGAGGGAATTCCTGAGCTTAAGGTTTATGCAGCTATGGCACAGCAATAAAGATCAGGAATACCTAAAGAGGCCAGAACAGTACAAAAAATCAACCCAAACCAGTTACTTAATAGCACGTATCTAACTGAGTGGTTATATACATTCACATTACTGACATGAGGCAAATCCTGGGACTACACACAATGTGGAAGAAATAAACCATGTGTGACACCGGCTCGATATAATGTGACAAATGTATTTTTGTGCTTGTAAATTTTGCAGAAATGGTTTCCTCTAACAGTAGGTGGAGCATGCATATTGTTCAATTAATGATAAAGCCCCTATGAAATTGGCAATCCATTATAAAAATGGAAATATGTTCCCCTAGCATACCCAATAATATGAGATGTTGGGAACAGAGATTGTGTGAGGAAATTCTCTGACAGTTACATAAGTAGGAAGTGCAACTTACTCCCAGTTTGTCAGTGGGCTGGAAGATGTTTAGAATATGCAGGGCTGGTCCCCCGAAAAGTTTTCAAACAACCTTGAATGATGCTGATTTTTACCCCTTTGTTGTTTTCTCATTGTAAGATGACCCAATCTTCTTGAATATTCTGATTAAAATTCAGCTCAGTATGTGCAAAATTTATACTCCTCTTCATGAACTCTTATAAAACTATAGATTTGAAGGAGGCCAAGACTTAGAAAACATCTGTGCATGTGGTCTGGCCCTTAACCAGTGCTTCCCAATCTCATTCCTGATGTTATCCCATTTTAGTACTTTAGACTTCAGAAGACCTCCAAAGTGAAAATTGTTAGTGAGGTGGAATGATGAAGAGGGTTATTGACGGAGATTTGCATGGGGTACAGATATGGAACAATGTGGGTTGTGGAAATCAATTTACATCTATAAAAATTGAAAATCTACTATTTTACTGATTGTGTTAGTGGCAGCAAATGGGCCTTGGAGCACGCAGCATAAATACCAGGACTCTTCTCAAACACTCTGGATCATGGAGTTCAGAGGATCACAGTTGTCCTTCATGAGAACAGAAATACAATGACAAACGGCTGATAGAAACTTTCTTGTTTAAGCAAAATGTGTTCAGGGATCTCCTACTTCCTGCAAGCACTAGACTTTGTTGAATGGGCAAAGTAAGATAAGAGTCCTTCACACAGGAATTTATCTGACATGTCTTGTGTTATTTTAAAAAGGTAGTACTCAAACATGGAAACATTCTCTTTTTGCTATGAAAAACCTTCAATAGAGTTGTCACATTTATGTGAGCTATATCATCAGATCTTGTCCTGCTGTTCAAAGCGCTGTTAATGTGATTTATTAATTCTTATCTCAGTTGGAATGAGTATAAACAGCAAAAGCTTGTTGCCTTGCTCAGTGAATCCTTATAAGGAAAATATAAGCCTCGGAAGATTTAGCTTATTCAGGACATAAGTGAGGTATTTAATACAGTATTATACTTTCAATAGTGATGTATTTCTGACTTAAGCATGTATTGGAGAACTCAATGGCTGGTTTCATGCATTCAAACGCTATTAGGATGAGGAGCTGGAATATTATGAATGTTGAGGGAGAGCATGTGTGACATTACCTAGGGATGAGCAATAGGCGACGCTCACATTCCATGAAAACAGAATGAATGCAAACAATTTCCAAGTGTGAGCATATTTTCCACACTTGACAGCACTCACTCTTATTGGGGGTGGGGGGTGGTGTAGATGATATGGCTCTGCAGGTAATGACAGTCCTCGGAGACACTGCCAGCGAATGTTAAGGAACAAAAATCATCTCAATTTATTCAGTGTCACCCCCCCATACATATATAAACACATTTCTGATCACCATTATACAAGAAAGTGTAATCACAAAGTTTTCCTTATACTTCATTTGACAAGGAATTTTTGAATTATTGTAAATGACAATTCATGTGTTGTACAAATGTTAAATATTCATTGTATTAATGTGCTAAACAGGTTCAGAATAAGCCAATACTCCTGCACAATCAACCTACACCAATGGGGGCTCAGCACAAACACACCTTATGCACTTCTGGAAAGATACAACAATGTTTCACATTAGAGTGTCCCCTCTACGAACTCAGTGATGTATAAATGGCCTACTCCCACTCCTATTTGCCATGTTCCTATCTTTCACAGAACTGAAATCACCCATCACGTTCATTATTCTAGAATGTCTCCTGTCCATGGCCTTGAAATCCTTTCTAAACGGTTGTAACAACCTTTGCTGCTGTGATGATAGAGCCTCCAGTGTTGCTTTGCCCATGGCCCCATTCCTGTTGCTTTCTCAGTCTGATCATGGAGTGGTGAGGTATACTAAGTAGGTGAGCATGTTTTCTGTGAAGATGGAAGAATCACTACAGGGGTTTGTCCTCGGTGGCAAGCCTGTCAAAACAGTTGCCTCTGTGGAGGGTTCCTGCCGGAGGTGGTTGTGTTCTTCTGCTTTTATGATCTTCTCCCTGGTTTTGATCATGTATGATACCAGTCCCGTTTGTTTTTAAAGGATGACTCCCGGTGTCCCGGAGAACTGTCTCTGTAGTGCGTTATGTGGACCGTATCTCCCTCTGGTAATTTTTGAGACCCAGGGAAAGCTTTAACTCCATTGTGTTCCTTGGATTCGGAGCCCCTTTCAGCTTCTCTTTGACAGGGTATAATCCGTCCTTGTTGACTGTTCTTGAGAAATGTTACTTCGTTTACCTGGCACACACGTTTTTCCCATTTTATGCAAATGCCAGCCTCAGAAAATGCTGTAAGGCCTCCTTCAAATTCTTCACGTTTCCTTTTGCAGTAGCCTCTGAGATTAAAATGCCATCTAGACTGACTACCAGTCTGATCACCCCTTTGAAGGATGGTACAAATTGAAGTTACCTCAAAGAATGAGTGTACTTGTCCAGTTCTGTGAGTATTTACAGTGATGTACTTCCTGGATGACCCTTTAAAGCTCCAGTTGGAGATAGGAATGGCTCATATTCAGTTTAGGAATATGTGACCTCCAGCCAGCTTTTCATAGAAGTCTTGGATGCATGAAATAGCGTATCTGTCTAAGCAGGATATTCTGTTGATTGACAACTCATAACCCCACAGATGGACCAAGTTGTCAGGTTTTGCAGTTGGGATGACTAAACAATCCCATACATTTTTCCAAAGTGCTCATCCGTACTCGGCGTTCCGCCAATTTCCGCAGTCTCATCAAGACGTCAGTAACTGGTTCCCCAGGAAGTCTATTTGGTGTGTTAGACCTGTTACCCGACAGTATAACAGATGGTTTGGGGTCATAGAGTCTGCTACCACATCTTAGTTTGTCAAAGGATTTTGACTGCGGATTTGCTGGGTAGGACAAACTCTTTCTGATGCTGAAAGTTCGGACCCCATGAGCGGTCAGGAGAATGACTTTTTGTCGAGGATCCCTTTCTATCCCATTTGCTTGCCAAAACATCTCATTCTTTCAGCACACCGGGGCCTTTTCTTCACTCCTGCATCATAGGTTCCAGTTTCCCAAACAGCGACATTTTCAGTATTTGACCATCACCATCTTACTGGATTCTTTGAAAGGCAAGGCTGTCTGAAACTTTTCTTCACTTTCATCGCCAGTGTAAAACACAGGAAGCCCAACTGGAAAGGAGCATCATTTATTGTTGAAAATCGAGCTATTACTCGTGTACATAGGCTAGTCCCAACCCTAGACAGAGTTTCACAGACCTTTCCGTGGTTCTGCTTTATAGGCCATGTTACCAAGGGAGTTCGTAGTCACCCAGCTTCACGGAGATTAATTAGTAATTCCTCATGGGCCTTATAGGGGTTATCATGACTGTGATGTTGAGAATTGAACATGATTCTCCAGGAGAGTCCTCTACTGTGTTTTATAAAGGCTTAATTTTTGTACGACATATTTGTATGTGTAGAAATTAATTTGTAAGTGAATAATTCTGCTGTCCTTGCACCTATCCCCCACTCTGTGAAACATGACAGTGGCATAGGAGATAAATGTCTTTGTGTTTGCCACTTACTGAAATGAGGCTAAATTACATTCATCACCGTACCCTTGCATCCAGGTAGGTTTCTGTACAGAACCATGGTGTTGCTGAAGTTCTGACAGTAGCCAGTATTTGTGCCTCAGTAACTCTCTTGAGCAATACTAATTCCAGCTATGATATTTCACATTGTTACCTGGGTTTGAGGTGTGTCCAGAAGCAATAATTTAACTGTATGTATTGTGAGGTAACCATAAGGAAATGAAACAAATACTGTCCTAAGCATTCAGGGTTGGATTACAACCACTTATGTTAGGCGGGACTATTAACAGAGCCATCCTGTGAGTGTCAAATTGATCATTCTGTCACTTGATGATAGGCCCAAAGTGTATTTTCAGTGTTTTCCCCTTTTTTTAAAAGTTTGGGGTTGAGCTCTGATGACTCACTGGCCCTTTATCCAGGCCACCACAAGCAAGCTGCTTTAAGAACTTTCCGAAGACAGATTGACTCCCTGTAGCTACTTCCCCTTTCCCCACTCTAATCATTTACTGTGAAATCAAATCTTGATATCACATGTCAACTTGTGTGTGTCTTCCAATTACTTCATGTCTTTCAACAGAAAGTCTTTGTTCTTGGGATGTGGAACTGCTGTGTGTTTAGGAGCAGTGCCAATGGAAAAAAAACAGCGATCTCAATAAAAGAAACATCCGAAACTTGAGCAGCTCAGTCCAGTGACGCTTGCATGTGTTGTACGCATGCACAGTTCTTACATTTGTGCAGCCGTGAGCCCCAGAGGGCTTTGGCAATTGCCTAGGTTGAGATTAAAATGTCTCCTATTTTCTCTTACTCTCCTCAAGTTTGGCACTCTTGTCCTTCAGCCATTGATTCGAGCCCCTCTTCCAGGACTTGAATGTACAATGTAGGTTGCAAACCTGTAGGAGGCGCCACCTATGGAATACTAAGTCATAGATCCAATTGTACTGTGTGAGGAATGCATAACAGGACCTTCTCCTGGGCTCGTGGCCAATAGTCCAGCCTTTGCTGACCTCTGCTGGGTCAGTTTAATGATCATTTGTCTCACTGACCATTCAGTCGGATGTAACTGTGTGTATATTGGCTGCCAGGTTGGCGTCCGGAACTACTGTAGAGGGACTTTTAAGAGCATTTGACGGTTGAAGCCTGACAACAGGGTGATGTGCTCGATAAGAGCAAGCCCCTTTCCTTCTTTATGAACTTTGAGCAAAGTTTTGCTGAAGTGATGTAGTTATCTGCATTGGGGTGCTCTCAGGTAGCCAGCATGCTGCGGGTGGCAGGACATGCCCTGCAATATTGCTTGGCAAATGCAATAGAGAGCCACATGCTGTCCACATGGCCAGCCCTCTGGTGCCTCACCAGGGCCACTGAGGCAAGCAGCCAAGGCCAAGGGTGCCTCTTTTAAGGCGGAGGGGGAGTGAGCATTAAAACAAATTCTTTTATCAATCTGGAGAATGGCAGAAATCCCTGGCCGGTGGCAGCATTGTAGCCCTGAAGGTGTCATTTGCTGTGATATCTCTGTCCGTCTGTCTGTACCACGGAGCATCCGTCTTGACCAACGGACGGCACAGTAGCTCAGTGGTTAGCATTGCTGCTTCAGCACCAGGGGACCCGGGTTTGATTCCACCTTTGGGAGAATGTGCAAACTCCACACAAGCACGCACATTCTCCTTGTGACTGCATGGGTTTCCATCGGATGCTCCGGTTTCCTCCCACAGTCCAAAGACGTGCAGGTTAGGTGGATCGACCATGCTAAATGTGGGGTCAGGGGTTATGGTGGGATCTGGGTCTAGGTGGAAGCTCTTTGGAAGGTTGGTGCAGTCTTGATGGGCCGAATGACCTCTTTCTGCACTGTAGGGATTCTATGATTTTTAAAGGAAAACCAGCAAAACTTGTACCTGAGACAACAAGGTGCAGGGCTGGATGAACACAGCAGGCCAAGCAGCATCATAGGAGCAGAGAGGCTGACGTTTCGGGCCTAGACCCTTCATCAGAAAAGGGGGAGGGGAAGGGGGTTCCGAAATAAATAGGGAGAGAGTGGGAGGCGGATAGAAGAGGGATAGGTGGAGAGGAAACAAACAGGTCGAAGAGGTGGGGATGGAGCCAGTAAAGGTGAGTGTAGGTAGGGAGTTAGGAAGGGGATAGGTCAGTCCAGGAAGGACGGACAGGTCAAGGGGGCGGGATGAGGTTGGTCGGTAGGAGATGGAGGTGCGGCTTGAGGTGGGAGGAGGGGATAGGTGGGAGGAAGAACAGGTTAGGGAGGCAGGGACGAGCTGGACTGGTTTTGGGATGCGGTAGGGGGAGGGGAGATTTTGAAACTTGTGAAATCCACATTGATACCATTGGGCTGCAGGGTTCCCAAGCGGAATATGAGTTGCTGTGGATGGGAGGTCACCTGAGGTGATGAGGTTGTGGATGGTTTGGGAGATGATGGTTTGGTGCTCAGGGGTGTGGTCATGATCAAGGGGGCGGTAGGAGGAAGTGTCGGAGAGTTGGCGTCTGGCCTCGGCGATGTAGAGGTCACTCCGCCCACAGCCGACGCCAACACAACTCCGCCCACAGCCTCCACAGCCAGCAGCTCCAGAGGAGACAGCAGCACCCAGCCCTGCCGAGTCTTCACCATCCCCCCAGATCTACCACTTACTGAGGACGAACGGTCAGTCCTCAGTAAAGGGCTCACCTTTGTCCCCCTCCACCCACAGATCAACGAATACCGCTCACGCTTGGACATAGAGCAGTTTTTCCGCCGCCTCCGCCTCCACGCTTACTTTAAGCGTGAACCTAACCCTCCCTCTACTGACCCCTTCTCCCGCTTCCAACACACACCCTCCTCCTGGACACCACCCCAAGGCCTCCTACCCTCCCTCGACCTCTTCATCTCCAACTGCCGTCGAGACATCAATCGCCTCAACCTCTCCACCCCTCTCACCCACTCCAACCTCTTCCCCCATGGAACGTGCAGCCCTCCACTCCCTCCGCTCCAATCCCAACTTCACCATAAAACCCACGGACAAGGGAGGCGCAGTTGTAGTATGGCGCACTGACCTCTACATCGCCGAGGCCAGACACCAACTCTCCGACACCTCCTCCTACTGCCCCCTTGATCATGACCACACCCCTGAGCACCAAACCATCATCTCCCAAACCATCCACAACCTCATCACCTCAGGTGACCTCCCATCCACGGCCTCCAACCTCATCGTTCCCCAACCTCGCACTGCCCGCTTCTATCTCCTTCCCAAAATCCACAAACCTGAATGCCCTGGTCGACCCATTGTCTCCGCCTGCTCCTGCCCCACCGAACTGATCTCCAACTATCTAGACTCCATTTTCTCCCCCTTGGTCCAGGAACTCCCTACCTATGTCCGTGACACCACCCACGCCCTCCACCTCCTCCAGAACTTCCAATTCCCCGGTCCCCAACGCCTCATCTTTACCATGGACGTCCAGTCCCTCTACACCTGCATTCCCCATGCCGATGGCCTTAAGGCCCTCCGCTTCTTCCTGTCCCGCAGGCCCGACCAGTCCCCCTCCACTGATACCCTCATCCGCTTAGCCGAACTCGTCCTCACACTCAACAACTTCTCTTTCAATTCCTCCCACTTCCTACAGACAAAGGGGGTAGCCATGGGTACCCGCATGGGCCCAAGCTACGCCTGCCTCTTTGTAGGTTACGTGGAACAATCCCTCTTCCGTACCTACACCGGCCCTAAACCCCACCTCTTCCTCCGTTACATTGATGACTGTATCGGCACCGCCTCGTGCTCCCACGAGGAGCTCGAACAGTTCATCCACTTCACTAACACCTTCCACCCGAACCTTAAGTTTACCTGGACCATCTCTAACACCTCTCTCCCCTTCCTGGACCTCTCTGTCTCCATATCGGGCAACCACCTAGAAACCGATATTCATTTCAAGCCCACCGACTCCCACAGCTACCTAGAATACTCCTCCTCCCACCCACCCTCCTGCAAAAATGCTATCCCCTATTCCCAATTCCTTCGCCTCCGCCGCATCTGCTCCCAGGATGAGGCATTCCACTCCCGTACATCTCAGCTGTCCTCGTTTTTCAAGGACCGTAACATCCCCCCCTCGGTGGTCGAGAACGCCCTCAACCGTGTCTCCCACATCTCCCGCACCTCATCCCTCACACCCGTCCACGCAATAAGAACCAAAAAAGAATCCCCCTCGTCCTCACGTACCAATCCACCAACCTCCGGATCCAACGCATCATCCTCCGACACTTCCGCCATCTGCAATCCGACCCCACCACCAAAGACATCTTTCCCTCCCCACCCTTATCTGCTTTCCGGAGGGACCACTCTCTCCGTGACTCCCTTGTCCGCTCCACACTCCCCTCCAGCTCCACCACACCCGGCACTTTTCCCTGCAACCGCAGGAAGTGCTACACCTGCCCCCATACCTCCTCCCTCACCCCCATCCCAGGCCCCAAGAAGACTTTCCACATCAAGCAGATGTTCACCTGCACATCTGCCAATGTGGTATACTGCATCCGCTGTACCC